TTTAAAAAGGGCTCCAGAAGTGATCCTGGCAACTACAGGCTTGTAAGCCTGACTTCAGTACTGGGCAAACTGGTTGAAGCTATAATAAAGAACAATATTGTCAGACATATAGATGAAAATAATTTGCTGAGGAAGAGTCAACATAGTTTTAGTAAAGGGAAATCATGCCTCGCCAATCTACTAGAATTTCTTTGAGGGGGTCAAGAAGCATGTAGACCAAGGGGATCCAGTGGATATAGTGTATTTAGGTTTTCAGAAAGCCTTTGACAAAGTCCCTCACCAAAGGCTCTAAAGCAAAGTAAGCTGTCATGGGATATGATTGGTAACTGGTTAAAAGATAGGAAAAGAAAGGTAAGTATAAACGGTCAGTTTTCAGAATGGAGAGAGGTAAATAGTGGTGTCCCCCAGGGGTCTGTTCCGGGACCAGTCCTATTCAACGTATTCATAAATGATCTGGAAACAGGGGTAGACAGTGAGGTGGCAAAATTTGCAGATGATACAAAATTACTAAAGATAATTAAGACCTAGGCAAACAGCGAAGAGGGATCTCTCAAAACTGGGTGATTGGGCAACAAAATGGCAGATGACATTTTATGTTGTGTGATGGGGCAAGGCCAGATGGCTACAGTAAAGTAGTGAGGAACAGGTATGTTAGCCCCAGGCTAAACAAATCCCTGGTACCATGGTACCATGGTAACCAAATGGCAGTTGCTCCAGGTTAATCAAGCCACCTGGGGCCAATTAAGATCCTTCTAGAAGGCAGTGGAGATAGCTAGATTGATTGGGACACCTGAAGCCAATCAAGGACTGGCTGGAACTAGTTAAAAGCCTCCCAGTTAGTCAGTGAGGTGTGGGTGTCAGGAGCTGCGCTGTTGGAGGAACGAAGCACTACAAATCTATATCAGGTGCAAGGAAGGAGGCCCTGAGGTAATTGTAAAGATACTGAGTGGGGGCTGCTGTGGGGAAGTGGCCCAGGGAATTGTACATGTCCTATTTCCAAAAAGTCAGCTTCCATAGCTGCTAATTTTAGGGTCCCTGGGCTAGACTCCGGAGTAGAGGGCGGGCCCAGGCTCCCCGCTCCCTCCCTGATTAATCACTGATACTGGGAGACAACAGAGACTGTGCGAGGGAGGGTTGCTTCTCCTCACCTCCCTTGCTGGCTTATGATGAAAATGGCTCAGTACACTGTGACCCTTGCCTCTAGAGAGAGAAGGGCTATGTGGAGGGTCACAGTGAGCCTCTGAGGCTAGCAAAATCCGTCAAGGAACACAGGACCCACGGAGTCAAGGACAGATCTTTGTCACAGTTGATAAATGCAAAGTAATTCACATTGGAAAGCATAATCCCAACTATACATATAAAATGATGGGGTCTAAATTAGCTGCTACCAGTCAAGAAAGAGATCTTGGAGTCATTGTGGATAGTTCTCTGAAAACATGCACTCAATGTGCAGCGGCAGTCAAAAAAGGAAACAGAATTCTGGGAATAATTAAGAAAGGGATAGATAATAGGACAGAAAATATCATGTTGCCTCTATATAGATCCATGGTATGTCCATATCTTGAATACTGTGTGCAGATGTGCTCGCCCCATCTCAAAAAAGATATATTGGAATTGGAAAAGGTTCAGAAAAGGGCAACAAAATGATTAGGGGTATGAACGGTTTCCATATGAGGGGAGATTAAAAAGACTGAGACTTTTCAGCTTGGAAAAGAGATGGCTAAGGGGAGATATGATTGAGGGCTATAAAATCATGACTGGTGTAGAGAAAGTAGATAAGGAAGTGTTGTTTACTATCTCTCATAACACAAGAACTGGGGGTCATGAAATGAAATTAATAGGCGGCAGGTTTAAAACAAATAAAAGGAAGTATTTTTTCACACAACGCAGAGTCAAGCTGTGGAACTCCTTGCCAAAGGATGTTGTGAAGGCCAAGTCTGTAACAGGGTTCAGAAAAGAACTAGATAAATTCATGGAGGATAGGTCCATCATGGCTATTAGCCAGGATGGGCAGGAATGGTGTCCCTAGCCTCTGTTTGCCAGAAGCTGGGAATGAGCAACAGGGGATGGATCACTTGATGATTACTGTTCTGTTCACTCCCTCTGGGGCACCTGGCACTGACCATTGTCAGAAGACAGGATACTGGGCTAGATGGACCTTTGGTCTGATCCAGTAGGGCCATTCTTATGTTCTTGTGTTCTTTGCCTTTGGCGTGGGCTCCTGTTGCCCCTGCCACTCACATTCATTTGTGGCCACTATTACCAGCGATCCCGGTGGAGGGTGGGTATAGAGGTATTCGTACTCTTTTGAAGGCACGAAGTACTTCCTCTACATTCTCTTTGCTGTGGAGGGCAAAGATGCTGGAGTCTGCCACAATGTTTTGGTCGTGTCATGGATTGTCTTTATTAATGGCAGAGCAACCCATGAAGGGCCAGTGGGGTCAAGATGTCCACTCTGAGGTCTGAGGACTCTGACACCTCCCCTATCTGGAGCCCCAGGTTTTGGGCCACCCTCCTCAGGAGCACCTGGTGAGCCCTACTATTGGGGGGCAGAGGTCCCCACCCCCTCAGGAGACGAAGAGTAAGATGCTCAGGCCACTACGGGACACTGTTCTTGCCCTTCTGGCTTGCAAAGATCACGCGGTGCTGGTTCCTCAGGCTCGTTGTTGACCTTGGCGCTGGGTCTGGTGCCAGTCTTGGTACTGCAGGAATGCTCGTGGGTCAAAGGAGGCAGCAGAGGAGCTCTTCCTTCAGAGGCAACTGATAGCGACCCCCTTGAATACGAACTCTGGGTCTGATGAAATGCCCATGGGGTCCAAAAGGACCATTGCACAGGCACTTGCCACTGCGCTGGCCAGGGCATAGAGGGAGAGACTGCCCCGCATTGGGCCTTAGGTGCCGATGCTGCGAGTGGTGCCGACTTATCTTTGAGGCATAAGACTCCGCCTCCAATGGTGAAGACTTGCTCCGTGGCGACCAGGCGAATCGATGCTGGATGGTGTTGGAGAGCAGTGCTGAAGAGAAGTCGACTAGTGCCACGACATGACTGGCTTGCCTCTAGATGGCACCGAGTGCCTTTGTGGTGCCAGTGGTCTGGCATCAGGTGCCCTCTCACACCTGGTGAGAGACAGCAGTGCCATAAGGGCTATAAGGTCCCTAGCTGCCTCAAAAGTCTCAGGCGTGGAGGGAAGCTCTAGTGTCTCTCCATGGTACTTCCTTGGAGGGGAGTCCAGAGGCACCGGACTCAACAGACCCCTCAGCAGGGCCGGAGTCCACGGTACCGCACTAGATGGCCTGGAACTGTAGTGGCCCGGCACAGGTCACACTCCGCTCAAACTCCCATGCTCAGCTGTTTTCAGTGTGGGTTTTCAGAGCGCCTCCTATCCATCTTTCTAAGCTTCTTTCGCAGCACTGGTGATTGGGAGCAGTGCTGCACCTCCCCACATGAGGAGCTCTTCAGTGCCAGAGAGTCCTGATGGTGCAGAGGACCCTTCGTTCCAGAGTATTTCTTCAGTGCTGGGGGCTCCCTCATTGAAGCCAGTGCACTCCGCACTGATGCAAACATGCTGGGTGCCGGTTCAGACGGACTCGGCTCTGAATGTGGGCAGAGAGCTGGCTCCATCAAGAGGAGTTTCAGTCGCTGGTCCCTCTCCTTTTTCATTCTGGGACAAAATCCCCTGCAAATCTTGCAATGATGTTTTTGATGGGATTCTCCCATATACTGCAAACATGACATGTGGGGATCGCCCCTAGGCATAGGCTTTTGGCAAGCCCCACTGGGTTTAAACCTTGAGACCAAGGCATGCCCCGATCTCAGGGGAAAAGGGGTGGGACTGACCCTGATAAGTCACTAACTTACTATATTAAAACACTAATACTATTAACTATTTACAAGAAGAAAGAAAAGAGTCCGCTAGGGAATCACTTGCCGAAGCAAGAGAGAACCACTGTTTCAACAACAGTCATGGGCACTAAGAAGGAACTGAAGAGGCGGGGGGTTGGCAGGGCCCTATACAGCACCATGAAGGCACGACTCCAAGGGGCTCCAGAGCCGACCCTACAGATACCACTAGGGGAAAAACCTTCTAGCGACTGTGCATGCGGCACGCACGCACCTACTTAGAACTGACATGAACAAGCACTCAAAGAAGAACAATAGTTCTGAGAGATATAAGCTAGTCCGTTCATCTCCAAGTGGCATTAACAATGAAGCCTAATGATGACAATTTAAGTATCAGCATTAATTCGGTCAATGCTGATTAAAGCATGCAGGAAAGAAGAGGCACAATCATTATTGAAGATCTACACAATATACTCTGAGTGGCAGTTCATTTTGGCATCACATGTGGACAGAGCATAGAATGTAGGTAAAGCATGGGAGGTTGTCACCATTTATTATTTTCCAGTTTCACCATTGATGGTCCCTCCAATCATATTTAACCCATTTTCTATTATAAAAATTACAGAGCCTTCCAATATTTAAAATTTAGTTTTTACAGTAGAAAGTGATAGGCTACAAATTCTTGTGGAAAGGGCAGCACACTTCAGACAGAGCTGGGGGTGGGGGGAAGAGGATGATGCCAGATAGTACAGGGAACCTTTAAAATAGAGAGACACGGTTAGAAAAAAAGAGAAAAATAAATATATTTGAGACAGCAGAGAAAAGGTATTTAGAATCCGTTCTCTAGTATCTTCTCTCTCATAATCCTAGGAGCTTCTTTCCATAGTGGAAGATTATGGTGCATAGCTTATCTCAAAACTGATTTAAAATTTTTTTTTATTTTATTTTTTTTAAATAAAAATGAATGTCAGGATAACAGCAAAGAGCCACTATAGGGCAGGCATTAGTCAGTCAGAAGTGCACTTGATGGCTGAGAGTGCTGGATTCTGTGCATCAAAACACAATTAAGGTCTGCACATGCACATCCTATTGCTATATTGGTGCAGTTACCAATCTTCTAAACGCTCTCTCTGTATTTCCAATTAAACTTACTTCTTACCTCTCTCTGGAGGCGCTCCATTAACTCTGTGTATTCTCTCCGCTCCTTAAGGTGCTTCTCCCTTGCTCTACATGCCAGGATGCGACGGAAAGCACACTGCAACGTTAGCACAGCCTTTTCTTTGTAGTTCAGTTCTGCGTGGTGCATAGAGAATGAATGAAGATAGACTGCAACCCAATGTGGATATGAGACGGTAGAATGTCAGACAGAATTCAGTGTTCATAAATGCAAGGTAATGCACAGTGAAAGGAATATTTTAAACTTCTCATACATAGTTTAAAGGTAATCAGCCACTCAGAAAGAAGATTTGGGAATCACTGTGAACAACTGGTCAATGTGCAGCAGTGGTCAAAGACTGGAAACAGATAGGATATCCACAATTGTTACTCAGAACACTGATTTGTGCATTCAAATGACAAAATAGATATTTTTCAGCTCTAACTTCTAGGAACTCCATAAAATTCCAATCAGACCAGAGAGATTGTTCGAATGGAAAAGATGGTTACCTTTTCCGTAACTGGTGTTCTTCGAGATGTGTTGCTCATGTCTATTCCACAATAGGGGTGCATGCTCGCCACGTGCACCAGTGCCGGAAGTTTTTCCCCTAGCAGTACCAGTAGGGGAGCGCCCCTAGCAACCCCTGGAGTGGCGCCTCCATGGCACGGTATAAGGGGTGCTGCGCGCTCCCCCCACCGTCAGTTCCTTCTTGCCAGACAACTCCGACAGAGGGGAAGGAGGGTGGGATGTGGAATACACATGAGCAACACATCTCGAAGAACGCCAGTTACGGAAAAGGCAACAGTCTTTTCTTCTTCGAGTGATTGCTCATGTGTATTCCACAATAAGTGATTCCAAGCTATATCTATTGGAGGTGGGTAGGAGTTCACAAACTCTCGGGACAGAACACAGCCCTGCCGAACCTGGCATTTTCCCTGGTTTGGGAGACGATCACATAATGCGAGGTGAATGTGTGAACTGAAGACCATGTGGCAGCCCTGCAAATGTCCTGAATGGGGACATGGGCTAAAAAGGCAGCCGACGAGGCTTGTGCCTTAGTCGAGTGTGCCCTCACAATTGACGGCAGAGGAATTCCCGCCAGGTCATAACAGGTACTGATGCACGAGGCGATCCAGTTTGAGAGCCGCTGAGTGGAGATCGGCCGACCTCTCATGTGTTTCCTGAACAGCTTAGTCCATTCCAGGTAAAAGGCCAGAGCCAGTCTCACATCCGGCATGTGGAGGCAGCGCTCCTCACTTGGCGCATGGGGCTTGGGGCAGAGGACCGGCAGGAAAATGTCCTGACCCATGTGTTAGGCGGAGACCACCTTCGGGAGGAACGAAGAATGTGAGCGGAGCTGGACCTTATCCTTATGGAACACCGTGTACAGGGGCTCAGAGGTCAGGGTCCTGAGCTGATGTGATCGCTACCAGGAAGGCTACCTTCCACAAGAGGTGTGACCAGGAGCACGTACCTAGCAGCTCAAACGGGGGACCCATCAGCTGGGCCAGCACCAAGTTCAGGTCCCACTGTGGGACTGGGGGCCTAACGTATGGGAAGAGATGATCAAATCCCTTAAGGAATCGGCCAGTCATGGCATGGGAGAATACCGTGTGCCCCTGCACCGGTGGGTGGAAGGCCGATATGGCCACCAAGTGCACCTTGATGGACAAGGTCGCCAGGCTAAGGTTAAAGAGGTAGTCCAAAATGAGCTGGATCAGGGCAGCCATGGGGGAAACGCCCCGCTCAGCTGCCCATTGGAAAAACTGAGACCACTTTGCCAAGTAGGCTCGGCGTCAGTGCGGAGTGCACTGGAGACGCCGTCTGGAGTGTCGCCTGCTTTCCAAGAGGATGCGCTGAACCCCTTCCGAGCACATCCTTTCCTCCTGGCCTAACCATTGAGCAGCCACACCATGAGGTGGAGTGCCGCTAGACTGGGGTGGAGGAGGTGGCCCTGGTCCTGGAAGAGCAGGTCCAGGTGGGACAGTAACGGCCACGGTGGGGCGACCGCCAGGCTCGTGAAGGTCCCGTACCAATGCTGCCTGGGCCATGCTAATAAATAAATACAACTATGACATTGTTGGCATCACTGAAACTTGGTGGGATAATACACATGATTGGAATGTTGGTGTGGATGGGTACAGCTTGCTCAGGAAGGATAGACAGGGGGAAAAGGGAGGAGGTGTTGCCTTATACATTAAAAATGTACACACTTGGACTGAGGTAGAGATGGACATAGGAGACGGAAGTGTTGAGAGTCTCTGGGTTAGGCTAAAAGGGGTAAAAAACAAGGGTGATGTCATGCTA